AGTACTGAAGTCACTCCTGAGGTTCACCCTTTAACCAAAGATTAGACAGGCCCATAAAACAAACAATAATACATGTAGCTCAACCATGTATACAAGACTAAATGGGCAAACCAGCCCAGGGGCAAGGATGAGAAGGCAGGAGGGGACAGAAAAACTGGACGAATGGCAGTGGGGAACCCAAGGTCAAGAAGGGAGAGTGTTGACACACCACGGGGTTGGCAACCAATGTCACAAAGCAGTATGTATATTAATTGTTTAATGACAAACTAATTTGCTCTGTAAACTTTCTCCTAAAGCACATAAAATCATTATGACTATATTAGAGAAAAGGTAGTGACTTAACTTCCACACTCAACTCGGATGCTGATATAGGAATACAGTACATATGTGAATCATCATGTAGCAGTAATAGTGTGACTTGGTGAAGAAGTGGGAGCAGGAGACAGCATAGATGCCAACAAATATGCCTTTGATCTTCAGTGCCGATTATGCAGAGAACAAGAATTAATTCATGAGTGTTAACTTTGTAAACTTAAAATGGTCATGTGTGATGTGGAATTTAGTATGATCCTTTAAGAAACTGTTTAGGACAGGAAGTAGACATAAAAAAAAACCTGTAGAACATATTTAGACAATTGGAATTATTTATATCAACAAAAAAATGTTCAAGGAAACATGATGCTGCATCAGTGTTAGAAATTATGGACACTATGAATCTCTCCTAAAATATTTTAATAGACAAGGATCAGAGGAGTAAAAGACCTAGTGACTTTAGTATATGTGAACATATCAAAATTGTATTAATAAAAATAGTCAATGTAATTAAGTAAATAAATTAATCTATTTCAAACTCTTGAACTTATTGAATTAAAGGCCGTGGCCATAAGACAATATCATTCATAGCAATAGTAAAGGTAGTAACAACCGCACAACTACTTACATTTATTGTGAATCAGGAAAGTATTTTTATGTGCATTATCTTATGTAATGCTAACAATGACCCTGTGAGGTAGTCGTTATTATTACCTCCATTTCGTAGATGAGGAAACTAAGGAAAAGAGAGGGTTAGTTATGTGCACAAGGTCACACAATTAGCAAGTATTATTCAGTAAATATTTAGTGAGTGTGCCTACCACGGACCGGGCACTGTCGTTGGTAGTGGGTAATTAGCAATAAGTAAAACGAGTCCCTGTCTTCATAGAAAACCTTACCTCTATGAGGGAGACAGACAACAAACAAACATGGAAACATGTAAGTCAGATTGTGATAAGGACTGTGAGTGTATAGAACAGTAAAGCCCAGGAAGAGGGGAAGAGAGTGCTGGGATAAGGTGCTGGCATGGGCTCTCACTCTTTTATACAGAGACGTATATGTTGTTGTTAGGTGCTGCCGAGTAAGTTCCAACTTACGGTGACAATATGTACAACAGAACGAAACACTGCCTAGTCCTGCACCATCCTCACAATTGTTGCTATATTTGAGCCCATCATTGCAGCCACCGTGTCAATCCATCTTGTTGTTTGTCTTCCTCTTTTTTGCTGACCCTCTACTTTACTAAGTCCTGCAGGGAGTGGTCTCTCCTGATAACATGTCTAAATTAATGTGAGACAAAGTCTCACCATCCTTGCTTCTAAGGAGCATTCTGGCTGTACTTCTTCCAAGACAGATTTGTTTGTTCTTCTAGCAGCCTATGGTATATTCAGTATCCTTCGCCAACACCATAATTCAAAGGCATCGGTTCTTAACTGGACTCCCTTGTTCACAAGCATATAAGGCAACTGAAAATACCATGGCTTGGGTCAGGCGCACTTCAGTCCTGTGACATTTTTTCTTTTTGACACTTTAAAGAGGTCTTTTGCAGCAGATTTTCCCAATGCAATACATCGTTTGATTTCTAGACTGCTGCTTCCATGGATGTTGACTGTGCATCCAAGTAAAATGAAATCCTTGACAACTTCAATCTTTTCTCCACTTATCATGATGTTGCTTATTGGTCCAGTTGTGACTATTTTTGTCTTCTTTATGTTGAGGTGTAATTGATACTGAAGGGTGTAGTCTTTGATCTTTATCACTAAGAGCTTCAAGTCCTCTCACTTTTAGCAAGAAAGGTTGTGTCATCTGTATATCTCAGACTGCTGGTTAGTTTTCCGCCAATCCTGATGCAGCGTTCTTCTTCATATAGTTCAGCTTCTCGGATTATTTGCTCAGCATACAGATTGAATAAGTGTGGTGAAAGGAAACAACCCTGATGCACACCTTTCCTGACTGTAAACCGTGCAGTATCCCGTTGTTCTGTTCTAACAACTGCTTCTTGTGGTCTATGTGCAGGTTTCTCACGAGCACAATTAAGTGTTCTGGAATTCCCATTCTTTCCAGTGTTATCTATCTATCTATATATATACATATATGTTTATATATATATAGAGAGAGATTTGTAGGAAGAAGAGAAAGAGGTCCCTGTGCTTGGGATGCACAAGGAAGATCAAGGAGGCCATGTAGCTGGAGTGGAGGGAGTAAAGAGGAGAATGGTCAGAGTATGAACCTAGATTTATCTGATCCCACCGCCACATTTTAATCACTACACTGATCTGATGTGACAACCACACTGTTACTTAATCTACTATGGTCTTGGAGACATACAGTATTAGCAAGATACATATTTTCATGGAAAAGAGGAGAGGAGTGAAATCCTAGTCTTGAAATTCTGAGTTGAGAGTATGTGAGAAATCCCTGTGGTTTGGGGAGGGATGCTTTGGAGTATAAAAATAGAGAATGCTGTGGACCATAGGTTTGGGAAAATGAGACTGTAACTCCCCTGCTCAGAATTCTTCAAGTGATTCTCTATTGCCTTCAGAGCTTTAGAGGAATTAAGTAGCTTTCCCAAAGCCCCAAAGCAAATATGAGGAAGAACTTGGATTCAGACCCAGGGCTGAATGATGATAAGGAGTGTATTCATAACCGTTAAGCTATGCTGTTCTCCTTAGAGTGGGAAGTCAGTCACATGTTCCCTGGCTTCCCAGTCACCCACAGAGAATCAAATCCATAAGCCTTGGCAAGGAATGTAGCTCTGGCCTTCTCTTTTGCCCTTACGTTTACTTGCCCTTCCCCTTGAGCAATACAGTACGTCTTACAGTGTCAGATACTCAGGACTCGGCACATTCTGAAATGTCCTTCTCCCTTTTGCTTTGTAACTAGAATTTTATATCTTCCTTGAAGGCTTTCTTTACCACTTTCCATCCTAGACTGAGTTATAACTCCTTCCCTTTGCTGCCTCTGGAGCTTCTGTATCTTTGTACTTGTTCATCATCTCCAATAGAAATCATTCCCTGAGTCCATATCCTCCAAGCCAGGGTTGGAGCCTTTCCTCTGGGCTCCCAGAGAAATCTATACATGCACTGATCTTGGCTTTTATCACACTGTGTGTGTGTCTATGTGTGTATGATTTCTTTGCTTACATGTCTGCCTGTTCTTCCACCCTCTAAGTCACTGAAAGCCCAAGCCTTATTTTTATCTCTGTCTCAACCACTGAGCATAGGGCTTGGCATGTAGTATACCTGTTCATTTAAATTAAACAGGATATTAGATGCACAATTATGATGATGACAGTTTGGATCAGATTAAAACAAGTGGAAAATGTTGAGCAATGATGTTAGTTCACAATAAAAGAAATAGGATATTATAAAAATAACTTTTTTTTTTTTTTTTTTTTTTTACCTAAAGGAGCCCTGTGGCACAGTGGTTAAGTGCTTGGCTGCTAACTGAAAGGTTGGCGGTTCAAACCCACCAGCCGCTCCATGGGAGAAAGATGTGGCAGTCTGCTTCTGCAAAGATTTACAGCCTTGGAAATCCTATGGGGCAGTTCTACTCTATCTTATAGGATCACTGTGAGTTGGAATTGACTCGATGGTACACAACAACACAACAACATAAAATAATTGCTTAATGAAAGATTATTATGTGCCAGACATTAAATGCAGTGCTAAAATACATCATTCCATTATTCCAAACCAAATTCAAACTTGAAAGATATATCTTATTAGGTATAAGTTTCAAAACCAAATTAATATCTTATTAGATATAACTTTTAAAACTAAAATTTGAAAATGCATTTATTTTCAAATTATAACTAAAAGGAATAGGTTAAATGGGAATGTTGGTGGGGCTTTGAATGGAGGGAAAAGTCTTTAGAAAGAGACAGAAGTCATCTTTGTTTCTTTATATTCAGTTTTTAAAACATTACTACAAATGTGTATACTTGGCTCCAAGGCAGAGATCTTCCAGAAAGAACACTGTACTCATTCATAATTTGGATATGGCAAGTTGGGTGATACAGAAGGCCATGGGAGAAGTGAAGCCAGATAGGACTATGCATAATGCAGTGCTTTGAGCCATTATCAACTGTTAATTGTGAAGGCTTCAGTAAGTGCCATCCTTGCAACTTAAGTCCCAAAGCAGGATCCATAGGCCATGGCTACTTAGTGTGATTCTGATTTTCCTTCAATAGGACACTTACTCATTGGGAAATCTGCTGAGTAATTTTTAATAGGAATTCTTACCGATTGCTTTATGTTTCTTAGAGAAATATGTTATCTCAAATGACATACTTACAATCACTGATAAAACATTTTTAGGCATGTTTTTAATATTGTCTTACATAACATTTATATGTTATTGTATTGGTTGAATTGTACTCTGAGATAAATTTTAATGTAAAATTTTTTAAAAAATTGCATAAATAATCCTAATTTTCCCACACTTCTCATAGCACAATGTAAGTTTTCTTCCTTTTTTTTGTTTTAATTTTATTGTCTCCTTAATTTCTCAATATTTTGTGCCAATGAAAATCTTCTTTATTTAATCCTAATACTTGGAGTCTGCCATATAGTAGGAAAGACTACACTAGTGCTGAAAAAGATATTTAAAAAATTATTTTGCCTTTCAATCCTTTTCATTTTCCAGTAGAGATATGTTCTAAACCTCTTTTTTTGGTTTTACTACAGTGACACTGCAGCCAAAGCCCTCTGGGAAGCCTTACTGAGCACCAAGCACAAAGAGGCAGTGATGGAAGTTCGGAGACATCTAGTGGAAGCTGCAAGCAGAGAAAACCTGCCAATCAAGATGAGTATGGGTAAGCATATCCACTTCACCTAGGATAGAAAGTGATTGTAGGCTCTGACGAAGTTTATTTAAGACTGCTCAGAACTGTGGGTCAACTCAGCCAACGTGGAATCTAGGTAAAAGTGTTGAAGGAATTTGTAAACTACTGAAAGATTAGGGAAGGAATATGTACACACTAACTGCTTTGATTAGCCTCAGCTTTGGGGAATCTAGGAGAGTCCTTGTTTACGAAGAGTAGTTCTTTTAGTTTTTTTATTTGAGCTAGAAATATCAGAATTGGTCTGGGCCACCTCCCCTTCATCCTCTTCCACCTTCCCCCCCCCCCCTTTTTTAAAAATATCCCTCTCCTTCACCATTATGACCCTGAGAGAAAGTTCTTTTATTGGTTTAGAACTAACGAATGAACTACTGTACTGGAAAAACAATTGAGCACTTAGGCATGCTGTGGTCTGGCTTCTCACCCTTAGAGTGGTTTACTAATTGTTCAGTCACATAATTGTTATCACTTTTTCATCGGGGAATGACATACCTCATTTTTCTCATTACTCACTTTTTCACATCTTACATTGACTTCACTATTAGAAAAATCTGGCTGTAAATGGAATTTAAGTTATAAATGGATTTTTTTCTTGTGATATATGTCAGAGAACCACAAAACTAAAGTTCTGATATTAGAAAAGGAATTTGGCTTTATTTTTCAGTTAAATAATTATATCAATGTGGAAATAAAGATGGACATTGAATCTAGTTAGTTGATAGAATTTATACCTAGAAACTTGCAAAATTTTATTTCTCTATTTTTTAGAATTAGAGTTCTTAACTTAGAATCTCTTCTTAGTAAATATTAGTACATGTTACTGAGTAGGAAAACTTTTCCTTGCTAAGATTTGTAGCCCAGAAGCAAGGCCAAGATGACGGAGTAGTCAGACGCTTCCGTTGGTCCCTTTTACAACAAAGACCCAAAAAAAGAACATGTGAATCGATTGTATATGATAGTCTAGGAGCCCTGAACATCAAAGACAAAGTTGAGGAATTGGACTGAGTGGCAGGGGGAGAGAGATGGTTCAGAAGCAGTGAGGAGTTGCAAGACCTGACCTGGTGAGAGCCGGCACCCTGTGGACCAGATCGGCTGGTGTGTGCGGTGAGGCAAACAGTGGCGTTTGGGATGCATTTTCCACGTTGGGAGAGACCAAGCAGTGGAGAGTCTGCTCAGGCCTCCAGAGCCAGTGAAAAGCGACACTCAGTTGGCAAAAGATAAGTACATGCATTTAGCCTACTGTGCAGATCAAAAGACACCACGTTTGGGAAGAAACTCTCACCCATTTACCTGCTCCGTCTCTGCATTGAGTCCTGGGCTGGCTTCAGTGACTGCCAAGTCCCCTGGGCTGGAAGTAGGACTTGTCACATGCCCTGAGCCATTCTTGGGGACTTGGAGAGGGAACAAATTAACAAATAGGAAAAAGTAATCTGCCAGCTCCTGTAAGCCAGGAACTCATGGCAGGCACAGCTCCTTTGCCTAGGCACAGGCATAAAGGATCCACGGACTTTGAATGCCTTTCATCCTGCATAGACCAGTGTGGGCCCATTTCAACAGCGTAGGCCCTCATTAGCACAACACACTAGGGGATATACCTGAAGCCTAACTCCACTGTATCAGCTATATGGTGGAGTGGCAGGTTCGTGACATTTGATACCCCTCTGCCCAATAAGCAGGGTCCTCACCTACCCACATCGGGGGCCTGAGGACTGGTGGCTCCACCCACACCATCTTAGCCACCTGAGACAGGGGTCCAAGAATAAGTAGTGCCTCCCAGTCCTTATAGCCAACAGCATTGGGTACCCATAGTCTGGCTGAAAAACCCACCTACCTATGCACTCTAGTAAACAGGGATACACTTTCTTGCCAGACACTCAGGGGCAGTCGTCAGCCCCCTACCTTGCTCAACATGTAACCCCCTACTGCAGCGAGATACCTGTGCCTACTCCAATCACCCCTGCCTGTCTAGGACTGTAGGTGAGAGCTTGCACCACACACTTGGTGACTGACTCCCTGGACACATGAGCTGAATCCATACAAAAAAGTAAGCAGACTTTTGGGCTCACATACCTGGTAACAGATCTAACCACCTGGTCACAGGATGTTAGAGCTTCAAAGGTGCCAACAATCAAACTAGCTCACATGAGCAGTATATTTGAGCATACCAAAACAAAACGAAACAAGAAGCTATGACACAGGAAGCAAACATAAAATAAATAAATATAATAACTTATTGATGGCTTGGAGACAACAGTCCATATCAAATCACATAAAGAGGCAGACAGTGATGGCTTCAGCAAGCTCCCAAAACAAAGAATCAAGAAATTTTCCAGAAGAAGAGAATTTCTTGGAAATACCGGAGGCAGAATATAAAAGACTAATATATAGAACTCTTCCAAGAGATCATGAGGGACACTGCAGAACACACCAAGGAACATACAGACAAAGCAATGAAGAATTAAGAAGATTATAGAAGGGCACAATGACAAATTTAACAGGCTGCAAGAAGCCATTGAGAGACAGCAAACAGATATCCAGAAGGTTAACAATAAAATTTCAGAATTAGACAACTCAATAGAAAGTCATAGGAGCAGAATTGAGGCAATGGAAGTCAGAATTAGTGAGATTGAAGATAAAGCACTTGACACCAACTTATTTGAGGAAAAATCAGATAAAAGAATTTAAAAACATGAAGAAACCCAAAGAATTATGTGGCACCCTATCAAGGGGAATAACCTATGAGTGATTGGAGTACCAGAATGGGGGCAGAACAGAAAATACAGAGAGAATTGTTGAAGATTTGTTAACAGAAAACTTCCCTGATATCGTGAAAGATGAGAAGATATCTATCCAAGATGCTGATCGAACCCCACAAAGGTAGGTCCCAAAGGAAAGTTGCCAAGACATATTATAATCAAACTTGCCAAAACCAAAGATAAAGAGATAATTTTAACAGCAGCTAGGGATAAACGAAAAGTCATCTACGAAGGAGAGTTAATAAGACTAAGCTCTGACTACTTAGCAGAAACCATGCACACAAGAAGGCAATGGGATGACATATATAAAGGCTTGAAGAAAAAAAAAATTGCTAGCCAAGAATTATATATCCAGCAAAACCGTCTCTCAAATATGATGGCGATATTAGGACTTTTCCAGATAAACAGAAGTTTAGGGAATTTGCAAAAATCAAACCAAAATTACAAGAAATGCTAAACGGAGTCCTCCGTTAGAAAATCAGTAACATCAGATAACAACCCAAGACTAGAACACAGGACAGAGCAACCAGATATCAACCCAGATAGGGAAGTCACAAAAATAAATCAAAGATAAAACACTGAAAATAGGAAAACAGAGATGTCAATATGTAAAAGATGAAAACATTAAAACACAAAAGAGGGACTAAAAAATGTAGTCATAGATCTTTCATATGAAGATGAAGTCAAGGTGATATAAAGAAATAAAAGATTGGTTTAAACTTAAAAAAATAGGGGTAAATATTAAAGTAACCAAAAAGGAAACTAACAATGCTACACATCAAAATAAAAAACAAGAAAAACATAAAGACTCAGCAAATACAAAATCAACAACAATGAAAAAGATGAAAAGACAATACATAAAGAAAAATGACTCAGCAGAGAAAATTAAGTGGAACAAAGAAACTGTGAAGAACACACAAAAAAAGACATCAGAATGACAGCACTAAACGTATACCTATCAGTAATTACTAAATGCACCAATAAAGAGACAGAGAGTGGCAGAATGGATAAAAAAACATGACCCATCTATATGCTGCCTACAAGGGACACACCTTAGACTTAAAGACATAAACAAGCTAAAACTCAAAGGATGGAAAAAAGTATATGAAGCAAACAACAATCAAAAAAGAACGGGAGTGGCAATGTTAATCTCTGACAAAATAGACTTTAAAGTTAAGTCCACCACAAAGGATGATGAAGGACACTGTATAATGATTAAAGGGTCAATATACCAGGAGGACATAACCATAATAAATATTTACACACCCAACGAAAGGGCTCCAAAATACATAAAACAAACTCTAACAGCATTGGAAAGAGAGATAGACAGCTCCACAGTAATAGTAGGAGACTTCAACACACCACTTTCAGTGAAGGACAGAACATCCAGAAAGAAGCTGAATAAAGAAACGGAAGATTTAAATGCCACAGTCAACCAGCTTGACCTCACAGACATATACAGAACACTCCACCCAATAGCAGACAAGTATACTTTCTTTTCCAATGCACATGGAACATTCTCTAGAATAGACAACATATTAGGCCATAAAGGAAGCCTTAACAAAATCCAGAGCAATGAAATACTTCAAAGCATCTTTTCTGACCATAAAATCATAAAAGTAGAAATCAATAACAGAAAAGGCAAGGAAAAAAAATCAAACACATGGAAAACAACGCCTTGCTCAAAAACTACTGGGTTATAGGCGAAATTAAGGACAGAATAAAGAAATTCACAGAATTAAATGAGAATGAAAACACATCCTACTGGAACCTTTGGGACATAGGAAAAGCAGTGCTCAGAGGTCAATTTATAGCAATAAATGCACACATCCAAAAGGAAGAAAGGGCCAAAATCAAAACATTAACTCTACAACTCAAACAAGTAGAAAGAGAGTAGCAAAAGAAGCCCTTGGGCCCCAGAAGAAAGCAAATAATAAAAATTAGAGGAGAATTAAATAGAAAACAGAAAAACGATTGAAAGAGTTAACAAGACCAAAAGCTGGTTCTTTGAAAAGATCAACAAAATTGATAAACCACTGCCCAAACTGACAAAGAAAAACAGCAGAGGAAGCAAATAACCCGAATAAGAAATAAGGTGGGTGATATCACAAAAGACTCAACTGAAATTAAAAGAATCATAACAGAATACTATGAAAAACTATACTCTAACAAATTTGAAAACCTAGAGGAAAAGGACAAATTTCTAGAAACTCACTA